CTAGCGATGGCCTCCCAGCTACTAGCGAAGGCCTCCAACCTACTAGCGAAGGCCTCCAACCTTCTAGCGATGGCCTCCAACCTTCTAGCGATGGCCTCCAAGCTACTAGTGAAGGCCTCCGACCTACTAGCGATGGCCTCTAACCTACTATCAATGGCATCCAACCTACTATCGACGGCATCCAACCTACTAGCGAAGGCCTCCAACCTACTAGCGAAGGCCTCCAACCTCGAAGCGATGGCCTCGAACCTACTACTACTAGCGAAGGCCTCCAAAGTACTAGAGATTGGCCTCCAACCCAATAGCGATGGCATCCAACCTGATTGCAACATCAATATGGAAAGATTGGACCATAAAGACCACTAGACTAGAGGTTGTTCTCGTCGGGATGACCGACATCACAGTCCCAGTCGTTTGACTTTCCGGATTGCATCTGATTCCTAAGTCTAGGGGCCGGTGTTTTGGCCTAGGGGGAATTGTGACTGTGATCTGCCTTCCTTAGTGATCGGGTATGAATCTTCAACTTTAAAAAACCTTAAATATTGGGATTGGTCATACCGCTTCGTGGGCCAGGAATCTCTGAGTTTTGTCATTGTCGGCAGATGGGGTGCAGCTGCTGTCCGTTGCTGGAATTTTTGGGATGAACATCAGGACAAGCCCCGAACCGACGCGGTCGTCAACCACATGGAAAGTGGAATCACTGATCTGCCCTCCGTGCTCTGCATGTGTCATTGCTTCGAGGGTGGAAACTGCAAGTAGTGTGTCGTAGTTCTTTGCTGCAGAGTTCAACCGAGAAAGACCGCCTGCTTGGTAGACGCCCTTTTGCGGCTGATAGCCTCCTCGGCCTCAGGAAGCTGCATGGAGTCTGGGTTGCGGCTGGATGTCGATACGTGTGAGACTTGATCACAGGAATTGCCTGGACAAAGACTGGAACATTCGTCTAAAGTCGTGGTGATCCCTAGTAACAGGTGCCACGCTACTAGTAACAGGTGCCTTACTAGTAGTAACAAGAAGCTAGTAGTAACAGGAACAAAAAGCAAACCAACAACAATTGCCTTTTACCTTGTCTAAGGCCTAGGGCCTAAGGGATTGGTGCAAAGGAGGGGGCCAATCAGCATCCTGAAACTCACTAACTAACCAAAAGGAAATGAGAATGGTCTTTCGTGTGGATATTGTTCTAAAATGTTCTATTGATTTTTAACTTGACAGAGTAGGACTTGACCGTTCCAGTTTCATTTGCGAGAGAATCACAGAACCACTTCCTCATGAACTGTACATTTTGCCAACTCCGTTTGTTGAAAAACCATTCGGCTCTGGGGTTGGTGGCATGAAGTTTACCTATCTGTGTGAGTTTCCTGTCAAAGCCCCCGCTATATGACTACAGAGTCTTCCACACCGCCATGAGCCCATGGCCAGCGCCCTTGTAGGTCGCCTGCCCCTGCATCCAAATCTCTTGGGTGTCAGCGTCACCAGTGCAAAAGTTGTTTTCATACTGCATACGTGCGACTAGGAAATGTCCAGCAAAAGGCGTTCCTGTCTCCCATGTTGTGGTATGCCAGTGCGACCCAAACTTGAAAGATAATGTCTCACAAGGTCCGGTTGCCAAACGTTCATCAGAACCAGCATGGACAAACACCTGCATGCACAGTTTCTGCCGAAGCAGGGAGCTAGAGAGCTAAAAGAACAGAGTCTCTGAGTACACTGCTTCATGCGAGGCCTGAAATGCAGTAGCAAAAGAACCCTTCCATCGCGATCGCGCAATCAGCAAAAGCCATGAACTTTGGCTTGCCTATTTTTTGTCACTCCTGGAAAGATTAGAGACCTTTCGCCATGTCAGACATGTCTAATCCGAACCATGCAATGACCAGAAAGGGTGAAACGCTATGTTGTTGGAAATAATCACAAATAGGCTGCCAATAAGCACACGCGCAAATCCAGTGGGTGTAAAGCAGTGCAGGAGGTACTTATGAACTTGGTGCGACAGTCAGCCTGCAGGGCGAGCAGTGCATCTTGTCTTTTTTCCCGCTCCTACTTAATTAAGTAGGCGCCTCCTTAATTAAGGCCAGTAACGGCTAAGTTATCTTCTAGGTAGGACGCAAAATAGTTCACGCATTATATAATGATTTGGTTCCTAGATGTTTAGGCTAGGGAGAAAAGTGTCATGGGCAACCCGATGAAAGTTGCCAGCTTTCATCCAAATGTCAGGAGTTCGGGCTTGGATGCAGGACAGTCACGTCGCCAAACAATGATCAAAGTCGCGGCTCGGGGTTTCTTGAACCAGAGGGTTTCGACTGTTTCCAACATGAAAAAGACTAAGTTACTACACGTTCAATCATTTCAATAGACATACAATGAAAGTCTAAGCCCTAAATCGTGTAGCTGGATGAAGTACTGAACATGAACCTCCCATCCACATCTTTCAATGAGGCCCAACCTAGCAAGTCAGCACCACAGTTCACTTCCCCAACCTGCCCCTCCGTCCCTCCTTCCCATCCTTTCTCTCCTTGTAGGTCGTTGCCTGGCCCTTGTAGGTGGTGGTCTGGCCCTTGTAGCCCGCCTCAAGAGTTGAGGTACTTACAGGCATAGTCCCAACAGGGAAGCAATGGGGCGTCACGTCACTTCCCAAAATTGGTCGATGAATGGGAAACCTTCCAGGTCAGGAATCTCATGATCTCAGCACCTGCAATCAATCATCCCTTCAGCTACATGTGTCTTTACAACCCTTCAGCTACATTATTCCAACTTGTTGTTCACAAGAGTTACCCTCCCAAGTTGGACTGATTTCGGGTGGAGAAGACCACCAGGGTCTTGTGAGGAGTCCTATAGACCCCATCCAGCTGACAATTGTGAATCACCAATGCAAATTGAACACACCGATTCCTGAAATGGATTGTTATTTTCTGATGTGTGTGATTGTGTGTGTGTGTCACATCTTCTGACCCCGGCCCTGCACGCTCTCCTTGTGCGCGTCCGGCCGGATCTCTTCCGGCCGCGCAAAGCGGAGCCGAGCGCTCCTGGAAGCACAGGCACCAAAGCCAATCTGGGTGTGACAAAATGTGCCAAGAGATCTTGGGAGATCTGCGTGCCAAAATTGGATGCACCAAACCCATTCCACAACCCAAGTACAAGGGAAAACACCAATCACCTGAAGCATCCAAGGTCTCATTGGGCCAGAGCCACTGGTTCTGATGAGATGTCTCAGGGCTCAGAGGAGGAAGCTACCTGGCAGGAAGGTAAAGATGGGATCACCGATCCTTGCCCATTGGCTGGCAGGTCTCCCTTGTTTGGGTATGTTTTGGTTTTTTGAAGGGAACCAACAAACATAGAACCAGCAGCATAGATAAAACGATAAAACACTTGTTCTAGCCGAGGGGCTCGTCGCCGTTCTCCAACTTCTGCATGCGATCTCTTCTCGCAGCCTGCGACGTGCGACGGTAAGGTCGCTGTGGCACGTTCACTACCCTGAAATGAAGACGCGAGTCCCTCATCTTGAGACAAGCTGAGATGTTGTCCAAAAAGGATCATCCAGGTAGAAGGTTCCTCCGTTCAAAACGAGCTACACCAGCTATAGACCCCCAGATAGCTAGGCAGAATTCAATTACCCAAAAATGTTAAGTTCTGTAGCTGTTGACACATGGCTGGACGGAGCTAGAATGCACATGCAGCCAGCCCGGCCAGCGCACCCAGCACCAGCACCAACACCCGTCTCCAAAACCAGCACCGACACCTTGTCGCGACAGCGCGCACAGCCAGCTCAAAAACACCAGCACCGGCACAATCCAACACCCTGTCTCGAAAGCGCCCAGCCATTGGAATTTAAAAGAAGGATCCAGCAGCGGCACCAGCACCAGCGCAGCACCTGCGCGCCTCCAGAAAACACCGATCCAGCACCAGCACCCGCACCAGCACGCCCCAAGAAAACGCCGATCCAGCACACGCACCAGCACCTGCACCAGCACACCCAAACAAAATGCCGATCCAGCACCAGCACCAGCACTAGCACGGGCAAAACGAAACGCCGATCCAGAGCCACACCATTGAAAAGTAAGAACCCCTCTAGCTTGCAGCTATCTGGGGAATAACCCTAGGACTACAAACACTTCAGGAAGGACTGAAAGAAGACCAAGGATCAGGTTGCCCTGTAGATTGAAGGTGAGCTGGTGTCTTGGCCAGTAGTTTGTCTGACCTCTTGGCGAGAGCAACCTCCCTGAAACTTGCTACCATGGGGAGCCCGTTCTTGGATTATCAGATTATCATCCCACTGTTGCTTGAGACTTCTTTAGAAACCAAGTTGTCCCAAACCCAATCCAAAAAGACTGAAAGAACACCTGCAGGTTTCTTTCTCCCCCGCTCATCAAGTATCCTGTTGGAAAAAAGTTGGCCGGCCAGCTCAAAGGATCTTCAAAACCGCCACGAATCGCGCAACATCCAGACGTGTGATTCCTTTGCAACACTCATAACTGCCTCGGTGAGCTTCACGAAAATATCGAAGTTCTCCACATCTTCGCTGAGCACCGCCTCTCCACCAAGAGGCAAAAAGGAGGCGGAAGCAAACATGGAACGTCATTGGATAGCTCAATCAAAACGATCTACGCCTCCATTCAAAGCCACATTACTGCGAAAGCTATACTATGTCATGTGTGAAAATTTGCTCAAGGTGTGACTATGAAAATGTAGGATAGGGTTATAAACGTTATAAACATACAATACAATATGGTAGGCCACTTGCAAAGTCACCACGTTGTCATTTTCGGAAAGCCTATTCGCCAAAAGACCCCTTAGCAGTCCTGGAGGACTTCCTGGTTGACCTCCACCGTGTCCTGTGGAAGACGTGGGCAGGAAGAATCAAAGGTTTCTTGCAGGAATCTGAGTGAAATAGACCTTCTGCCAGACCAACATTGAAGTACAATATACCATGCTTGTAGACGAAAGCTGAGAGCCCCTATGCACTTAGGGCGAGGGTTGTGTAGAGGGCAAATATCCTGTCGACCGGCGTTGATGAACATCTGCCGTCCATTCCCCCCGTTGAGAGCACTTCTGGATGGTCATGAGAACCTCGAAGGCCGCCCTTGATACACCAAACCCTGGGAAGTTTGCAGAAGTAAGTGAGAGTTTGGCCCAGTGCATCTACTGGTTCCAGGGGCCTGTCTAAACTTCTCCATGAGAACCTGTTCTCCAGCCGGCTGCCGCACTCGCGCACTCGCACGCTGAGTTCTGCTCCTTGATAAAGGTCAAAAGCTGGAGATTTGTCTCAACCCCATAGTGCTTCACGTTGAAGGTCTTCTTGTAATATTTGTTGTAGTAGAAAGGCCTTGCTGGTGCAAAGCCCGAGCCTCTTCCCTAGGTCTACTGTAGCAGTTGGGAGTTGAATAGAAAGGAAAGTTACTGCAGAACTTTATGTTTATGCACACAAAACCAAGAACTTGTCTAGAGCGCCCTCGTGCTCAAATGATGTTGTCAATACTGGAATCAATTGAGGGTCAAGTGAATTGCGCTTTTACAAGGACATATGATGGAGAGATATCTAGCACCCCCATAGGTTGCCATAGATCAAAGCAGCACAAATCAGTGTGGGGTTCTGAGGATCGATGTTATAAATGTCGCCCTGAGACTGACACATACAGACTTAGTGTACACATAAGCATCAAGCCTCTCAAAACAACTCTATATACAAATATACATGACGCAGTCCTGTTTTTGTTCAGCAACAAAGCAACAAAGAGAGCCTCCAATCTTCACCAAACTGCCCATCAGCCGCTGATGGGCATCCTTTTGGACAAATCAGGTCCCCCTGCAGGTGGCTCTCGTGGATTCCAATCCGCTCTGGGTCGTTAGCATCTCTTCGGAAGCTATGGACCTGCAACATGCGTCAACAATGCCAAATACCATGCACGGCGATGTGGCAATGTCCATCACCGCACTGATGTTCCTCCTTGAAAGTGGTGATTTTAGGTAACATTGGGTTCCATGAATTTGAGCGGAGATGACCCCTGCCCCTGGAACCCTTTTTGACAAAACGCCTGTCCCGCATCAGAAATGACCTGTCCCACAAACAAAGAATGCTTGCCAAGTCATGGTTTTGCCTCAGTTCAGCCTCACAGATTGGGATCTCGAGGAGTTGTTTACAGTGAAAAGACTTGATGCTGACGTTAGTTGATCCTTCATCTTTCACTATTGGCAACAAAGGACGTGTTGGCTTTCATGTCCTCATTACTTCGAGGCGGAGATTGTGGAGAAGTATCTCCCAGACCTTTCCTCCCTTACAACACAAAGGAGTGAGATAGGCCTTGGGTCTTGGGGAACCAAGATCCACATAGAAATGCGAACAGGTCATGCAGGAGAAGGTCTGGAAAAAGTTCAACCAAAATCTCCATTAGCACCTAATTGTCTTTGAAGATGCGCATGTCTACTATTGCATGTCTCCTATGCGAGGTATTGGAACAATCCCACCGACTTAGAGCCCCACCAAGAGGTGCAGCTCCAGCCGTAAGCCTGGTGCAAAGTTGAAAGTACTACAGTAATGGATCCCGCTGTAGCGCTGGGGGGGCTGCTTGGCTGCATAGGCAATGGCCAGGGTTTCACTACGAGTTGGAGCTTTGGGGTTTCTGTAGAGGTGAAACTCTTGCATTTTTCTGTATAGCCAGAGGGTTGCTGTTCAGAACATATATATATTATACCAATATGTACATATATATTTAATATATATTATACCAATATGTACATATATATTTATACTCAAATATATATATATGTATAACAAATATGAAAGACGGAAAGCGGACCTTTTGCAAAGTGTTTGGGCCTGTTATGCCCGCGGAATGCGCTTCTCGATTTGTGTGTGTCATCCTTCAATGACTGTCTCCTATGAACTCTGGTTGAATCTTGTCACTCCTCCTTCATTGGAGGTTGCCACACACTTCTTACACAAATTCAGCTCTTGTCCATACCCCCAGTGGTCGCACTTGGGGGAAAAATGGATCACGCGCCCTGTTGGCGTCATCTTCATTTGGTTCATTTGTGTTTCAACCTTCGTGGCCCGAGCGTCCGAAAGTCTGACCTGGATTAGAAAATCATCCATGGCCTCCTGTACAACTTTCAGTCGCTCTTCCAATTCCTCTATGTATGTCTCGCGGCTGAAACACTGCATTTGGGCTTCTTCAAGCTCCTTCAAACAGTTCATGAACTCTTGGCTCATGGTCTCACCGGTGGTTTGTGTCCCTTTGTGTTCCACCGTGAATTTCAAGGTCATCATGACCTTCTGGCCTCTCACTGGCTCCTTCACGTACTTCATCATGAAGTCCTTCGTGCCATCGAGAAACTCCATCATATAGGCCCGCAGCCAATTCGCCAAGCTCAAGGCCCCAACCAAAGCACATGCACACAGGACAATCCAGCCCCAATCCAAGCCTTCATGTACATGGACTTCTCCTTCGTTCGGCATGCCCGTTGCCTTGGTCAAGGTGTTCAGCAACATCAGCAGGCCGATCCTCATGTCCTTAGTGTTTCCGAACTTCTTGACGCTCTGCTTCAGGTTGCGTTGCTCTATCTGCTCGTGGAACTCCTCTTCGCCCACACGGTCACCAGTGGCATCTACCATGTTCAGCATCCACAGTAGGGCTTTGTGTCTCTTCTTGCTCAGGCACTTGGTCCCCAAGTCGGCACAGTTCAGATCTGTGGGGATGGCTGCGATGACCACCTTCTTTTCCTTCTCCTTCTGCTGGATCCACAGCAACGATGCATCCAAATGACGCACCCTGCCAATCCCTTGCCTCTGGGACATTGCTCTTGCTGAACTGTCGGACCTGATCTTCAGAACACATGGCTGTCCTGTCAACTGCTCCCATAGATGTTTGATCAGCAGCCCTTCTGAGCATCCTGCCACCATTGCCACAAACTCTGCTTCTCCGGATGACAGGAGATTGCCTTTTGTGACCTTACCTTCGATTCGACCAGGTTACCATCGATGAAGATCTGGAAGGAACTGGTCGACTTCCGGTCATGTTGGTTTCCTGCGTAGTCGGCATCGGTCACTACTTCAACCATGTGTTGGTCCTGTGGTTCCACATCCACTGAGCGTCTCCTGTCCATCACTGACTGGCCCCTGCTCTTGCTGTCGATGCGGACTCCAAATCCTCCAGTGCCGAAGAGGTAGGAGCACACACGCCATGCATGCTTCGTGGCTTGAGCTGTTGGCTTTGCCATATGCCGTGCCAGGCATTGGATCGCGAACTGAGCATCCGGTCTCTCTCCTGCCAGGTACATCAGCCTGCCAACAGTGCTCCTGTATTTGGTGACTTCTCCTCCTTCAAGCACAGGTGAGGTGTCCTTCTTTGTGAAGTTTGCATCCAGAGGGGTTTTCCGGTAAAACCTTGAGAACAAGTCCACATCCTTTTCAAAGCTGTCATATTGCTTCCTGTCGCACCTCACATCACAATGATGCGGCCTCAGAACTCCCTCTTCAGGTATTCGCCAGGTTTGAATGGTCCCTCTTCTTTCCTTCAGGTAGTTCACAAAATCCCGGAGCCGCTGTGTGATGCCCACCATGAACACATCGTCCACGCGCACTGTCAAGTACAACTCTTCTGGGATGTACAAGAGGGTAGGCTGCATAGGATCTTGCTTCATCCCAAACTCTATGCAAGCGCCTGCAAATTGCTGGAACCACTGTGATGCAGCTGTCCTCTGGCCAGGTAGGCATCGAAGCAACTTGAATATGCGGCCATTCACTCGGACATATGCTCGTTCTTCAGCGGGCTGTGGCGACATCAAGAAAGCATCTTTGACATCTAAAGTCATGACCGAGAATCCCCCATAGACGTTCAGGGTCAAGTGAATGAGCATCTTGGGCAAGCACATCATTCCCGTCGGAGCGAATGTTTGCTCCAACTGTACTGAATTTCTGAACTGCCTTGCCACTAGTCGGGCTCGACGAAACCACCCGCCTTGATCAAGTCGATGCTTCCAACACATGACTTCCTTCGTGGAGATGATATATCCACCATTTGCTTCCACCTCCTCTGCTCCAACTTCCACCATGGCTGGCATCTCCAGCATCCTGTTGATCTCCTTCTCCCGTGCCATGGCATCAAGGTGTTCCAGCTCTTCTTCACTCACTTCAGGTGGATCATCTCCTTCTTCACCTCCATAGCCCCACATTTCCTCCTCCATCACATCCTCCGGGATGTAGTCTACACCAACTTCCTCATCTCCATGTGCCTCTACTGCATTCACTCCCGCAAAATGCGGTGGGTACAGTGGACCAGAACTTGTCGTTGAGGCTTGCGCTGATCTGTCTGTTGGCGCTGACTCTATTGGGGCTTCCGGCGTTCTTGGCAATTCCACACGGGCTTTCTTTTCATCTTCATCGTCACTGACCTCAATCACCCTTTTCTCATGCGCTCTGCGCGGTGAGGTGGATTTGTCTAACTTCTTTTCTTCATGCTCATCTTCTTTCTCCTCCTCCAATAACGGCCTCTTGTCACCCTTCGACCTTGGTGACATCAATGCCGGTGTTGAAGGCGCAGGAATTGCAATGCCCGGTGTGGTGGGTTGTGCGCGTAGGCCTGGTGCCGGTGTCACTACTCCAGCAGCCACGTCGGTTGCAATCTGCTTCATGTCCTCTTCGGTGGCGTCAGTCTCCAGAGTGGGCATTCGGTACTTCTGGGCTTGGCCTGCATGCCTCATGAGGATGCCTTGTGGCGAGTAGCTCCAGGGCAGACCTCTGGCACATAGTATGTCCACGCTCTTGAAGGAATCCTCTGGCGCCAATCTTCTGATTGTTCGGCTCTCGAAAGCTCCATTTTCCGTGAGGATGATGTGACAATCTGTCCATGGATGCTTTCCAGCCCATATACCTCGTTCAAAAGTCCCACTGCCCTTGTACTGGACGATCCTCTTGAACATGACGCTCTCACCGAACAAAGCCAGCTTGCCCCTGTAAGCATGACCCGTTGCGAGCTCATAGCTTGTCTTCTTGCACCCATCCAGCACTCGGAACCTGTTGATGAGGAAGGCCGCGTGCCTGAAGGACCAAGGGAACAAATGGAAATTTCCCAGGATGTTGATTCGTGCTCGGTCCTCTGCAAAAGCTCTCAGGCAACTGGCTAACCTTCTGACAGTTTGCACCGCTCGCTCTGCTTGGCCATTCGATGCGTGTTGTCCCGCGCCAGTTATCCTCAGCTCTGTTTGCAGTCCCATTACACTCCGAACTTGCTGTACTGATCGCAAAATCTGTCGGGTGGCGCGTTCTCCATCTGCCTGCAGGATGCATTGGTCCCTGGAGGCATTCTCAAGGGTGAACCTCACGATCTCTTCCGTGACATTCTTCAAGCTTGCACTGCCCTTTGTGTGGATTGGCACAGTGTGGATGGCCTTCGTCTCGCTGGACACTGCCACCAGGCATGTTCCATATTGGTCTTGTCTCTCTTGGACCTTTCCTGACGGCGTTTCGTCTAGCCGCCCTTCTTCACCTGTGTGCGTGTAGAAGAAGTCCAACTGGGTGATGTTCTTCCCGATGTCTTCTTTCTCACTCACATTCTTGTAGTGGTCCTCTTTGGCTCGACACGCCACACAGGCTTGGCACCATGGAGCATAGGGCCAGTGAGTCACAAAATGTAACTCCTGTTCTGCTAGACTTGGCAACTTCGGTTGACCCAATGTCACTGGCCTCCTCTGTTGTTCTTCGAAAAGCTTGCTGGCGGCTGCGAGATGCATCTGCGTCTCCAAGTGCACCACCTCATGTGCCTTTTCTGCAACTACCATCTTCTCCACATCGTGATACATCTCCTTGTACTCAAGCTCTTCCATCTCTTCTGCATCGTCCTCTGACCAGTCCACATGGCCAAAGGCTTCTTCCGTGCAAGGATATGGTGATATCGGCACTTCTGATCCACTCTCCCAGAAATCCTTGACTTGGTGGGAGAGAAGAAACTCAGCATGCGCATAGGCTCATTGTCCATTGAAACTCTGCGGAAAGCCATGCTGCCTAGGCTGTTGAAGTCCTCCACATTCTCCAGCTGAGTCCAGGTGTCGTCCCTGTTCTTCACCAGAGTGAGCCGCGCTTTATAGCTCTTTTCAATGCTTCCTGCCGGGTTCGTCATGTGACTGGCCACTGTGTCACTGTAGACCAGTACTCCATTTGGCAGTCTATGCCATTGCGGAGTCATCTCAAGGCTCTTCACATACTTGCTCAAGTAGCCTGTCAATGCAAACACTCTGGCCTCCTTTTCATCATGCTGCGTTGATGGAGACTTCACTGCAAAGATCCTTGCTTCGAACTGCAAGGAATTCCTCTCTGTGTTCAATGGGATCTCGATGCATCTCTTCATGCTTCAGATGTAGCTGTCCTTCAACTCCACCGAGACTCCATCCTCGTTGCAGCAATCGTCCTGCGCATAGGATTGGGCGATGCACAGCGCCCAACACGAACTCCTCCACCAGCTCGATGGTCTTCCCTGCTCGATCTTTGATCCTCACTCTTGCCCTTGTCAGCCCGTCATAGGCAATTCGTCTTCCTTGGGCATCTACCATTTTCAGCTCCCCACTGCTGGCCACACTAGTTCCGACACCAGCAAACTCTCTAGGAAGCACTGAGATGTCTGCTCCACTGTCCAACGTCACTAGACAAGTGTCATCATCTCCATCTTCTTCCAGCTTCACCATGTTCACCTCCAGTTCTTCGTCCTGCAGTTCCATAGCCACTATAGCCACATGCCTTGGGACGTCCACTGTTGGTTCATGGCACTCCTGGTACTCTTCTTCTTCAATCTCATAGAACTCCTCAATCTCGTCCTCAATGGACACCATGCCCACACGCCAAGGGTGAGTGTGTTCTCCACCATCCTGTCGAGGTGTAGTCAAGTCGAACACCTCCAAAGATGCTGCCTCTGGTGGGGTCTCTAACCTCACCATCTTCACCGAGGCATACTGGGTCGCAGAGCCACCACCTGAGCCAGTTGCATGACCAGTCGACGATGAACTAGCTCCACCAGGGTTTGCCACCTGTTGCTCCTCGATCTGGTTCACTCGCTTCCAGCACTCCTTTGCAAAGTGCCCAGGCTTGCCACAGATGTGGCAGAGACCTGCCTTTCCTCCTTTTGGATTTGGGCTCTTACCTTTCTTCCCTGGACCTTTCTCCCACATAGAGCGTCCTTTATCGCTTCCCTTCCAGGAGCCTTTTCCATCTTTGGCTTTGCCCTTGTCCTTTCCTTTGGACTTGCCTTTGTCTTTTCCTTTCCTGCCACCCTTCTTCCCTTTGTCGTAGGACTTGCCGATGTAGTCCACTTCCATCGGGGTGGCATCATCTGCTGAGGCTCTCATGGGCACCATCAGACTGTTAGATGAGTCCCATCTTGTTGTCACAGCCTCCAACTGCACAATGCGATCTTTCAGCTGCTCATAGGTCGTAGAGTCAGTCAACCACAGATGCAAATGCTGCCTAATTGTCACTGGGCAAGCAAGAAGCACTGCAGCAACCTTTGCATCGTCGGAGGAGTCCTGCCCGGAGATGCGCTTGTACTCTTGCACAAGGGCCTCAAACTGGGGCAGCTGCTCAGACACCGTCTTCTTCTCTTCAAACTGGATCCTCGAGAACTGGCTCAGCAGAGCTAGGGATCTGGCTCTGGTTGCTGGCTGCATCTCCTTCAGAAGCACTTGCCATGCTTCAAAACCATTCTCCTTCTTGATGTGCCGGATCAACTTCAGGGGTCTGTGGCGAAGATACGAAGTCAGAAGACTATATAGTCTCACCGCCTTGCCTTTGGTGTCGTCAGACATGTCATCCATGACATAGTTGCCGTTCACGTTCTTCTCCACCATGTCCATGTTGCTGGCCATCGATGGGTCAATGCCCTTGATGTAGTTCACGAACGAAAACTTCCAGTCTCCCCAAGTCTTCAACTCGGCATCTCGGCTCTCAGGCTTGAACAGATCAGGTGTCTTCAGGTGCCTGCTCCAGCCTTGAGCCGTCTGATGGACAGTGAGTCTCTCCAGTGCGGCTGCCACCAACTTCAGGCTTTCATCAGCCATTGCAGCTAAAGGGCCCACCTTCGGGTAGTAGGTCTTGGTCGTCACACCTGCTTCCCCTTCTTCCACTTTCTCTCCAAACTCCAGCCCACTGTGGGTGATGATCTCCCAGAAACGCCAGTTGCTCACTAGCACCTCCAGGTCCTCCTCGTCGGTCTTCTCCTTCAGGTACTCGACCTTTTGGATGAACCGCCACTTGCTAGGCACTACCACAATCACCTCTTTCACCTCGTTCTCCTTTGGCTGCCACTTCACGGTCAAACTGACCCTCAAAGCTTTCGAACTCTTAGTCCACCTGATCCTCCCTGCGTAGGTCTCTGTCTGCACGCAGAGGGTGTGGATCTGCCGAACCTTGACCTTTCCGGTCTTTGGGAAGATTGTACCACCTTGGTAGTACTTCACCCGAGCCCTCCAGCTAGTTCTGACAGGACAATCAGCTCCAAAAGCCACAGGGATGTAATCGATGGACTCGAACAACGTGGCCTTCTCGTTGAGGCGATCGTAGTGCTCGTTGTGCCGCGTGGGTAGGGAGCCCCGGCTCTTACGGCCAGGGCTCCGCTGCCATGAAAGACGGAAAGCGGACCTTTTGCAAAGTGCTTGGGCCTGTTATGCCCGCGGAATGCGCTTCTCGATTTGTGTGTGTCATCCTTCAATGACTGTCTCCTATGAACTCTGGTTGAATCTTGTCAAAAAAACAAAATATATATATATATATGTCAGACACTGCTTTCAGGGGTACCCTCTCAGAACCTTTACGATGCTGTTTTGGCGCGTGGAAACGCAGCTCAAGCCCTGACCTCTTCGAACATCGAACATTGGTCTCGTGATCAATGGTGTCACGACTTGAATGACAAAGCGCTTTCTATTGAATGTGGGTGACACTCAAATTAAAGTCTTCCGTACTGTGACTTGCTGTGTATGTGCGTATATATATATATGTATAGAGAGAGAGAGATCAGGGAACTTCCACAAATGAAAAACTCAAACAGCCCGGGTGGCTGACTCACTCGATCTGTTTAGCACCAAATTCAATGAAAAATCCCTGCCCATGCTGGTCCATATCATCTTTGCCATGACTGGCTCAACCAAACGCTTGTACAAACCAAATGATGGGCTACCGGATCAAACGATCAAAATCTGAGTTTATATATCATTAGATATATCCCATGCAACCTGTCACCCAATTCTATGAGTGAGCCTTCTTTATCCAATAGATCTACTAACTCTTTCTGCTTGCCAAGTAGAAACTCAATCCCTTTCAGGCCTCTTTCAAGGTTCGGGACCAAAACATGGTCGACAACCATCAAAACGGGATGACCTGAACATGCTTAAGCGGTTCACCTTTTGGTCAAACAAATCATACCCTCAGAATCTTGGCCCATTCACTTGCCCATTCAGCCGAAAACTCAGCCGGCTGTGCTTAGCAAGGCCCAATCCTGAGGACGCCAAGCTTGAGCAAGGTTGACCACCCCGGTTCAAGCTTGATTGTATGAATAGTAGCGTCCTTGCTCCTAGTAGCAAATGGTTCAATCAGTGTCCCGCCCTTCGGCCCTTCAGGAGGAACAGAATGGGAGCCACTCGCTGCGGCCCAAAACTCAATGACTGCTCACAAGACCTACAAGTCTTCATGGGATTATTGTTCATGGGGTTCAAAGCAATCAAAGAGACCTTCATATCATAGCCTGTAGAATGGATGTTAATCCCCAACAAAGCTTCTTAATGGACATTAACAGTGTTGATCCGGCATAGTAGAGAGCATAGATGTATTGTCTAGGTTTGTGCAAATGGAGAGGCCTTGGCCCCGTGGCTTGGGTGACCTTGCAGACCGCAGTTTGCAAAGCACGTTTGTCCTCCTTATTCTTCGGCATTCCCCGTTCCATCCAAGGAATCCTCTCTCCAATCTTCCATGCAAACCAGGTTCTGAACCAAAGTATCACTGAAGTCAAACTGGCCCAAACTAGTGGGGGGCCCATCCCCACAGCTCGCACTTCACGGGTACGCCTCAAAGGTGAATTTTGCAAAGAGCGGTTCGCCCGCGGCTGTGTTGCCTCGCAACCATTGCGTGCAGTAGACTTACCGTTATCGCATGCTACGGCGAGTGGACCAGTATCGCTTGGAGTGCTTTTGTTTTTAGATGCTTTCAATTTCTGACTTCCATGTTCTTGGCCGATTCAGACCTGCACGGATTGTGTAAAGCATGCCGGGAGTGTCTCAAAAGCGGAGCCTGACATAAACATGGTAGGCGCACCTGTAGGAGCGTGGCACGTTCACCACGGTTCAATCGCCATTTATTGGTACAGTAACTCCGAATCTCCCACATTTCTTTTGCTTGGTCTTGTTTCAGCGGCTCTTGACGAAGTTTTCAACTTTTGCGGTTTCTGCGGCACGGGTGGCCGGTTGCACTACGCAAGGCAGTGAGTCTTCTGAACTGGCCTTGATATACGTACTGTCACAACTCCTTTTCTCTGATCTTTTCTTTCTTCCGAGTAGTCCGGTTATCCCGAGTAGTTCGTTGCATGCCGAAAACAACAAATCAAAACAATCACATGTCTCGTATGCACAAGCCCTACGAACCGTCTGGTTGGCTTTCGATAGCCTACAGTAGACCATGTGTGCAGAAGCATGAAACAGCGACGTCGTGATTACCTACAGAAACCATGGGTGCAGAAACATGAGACATCGACATGATTGCCCCAGCCGCAGCCCCCCCCCACCCTGTGTTTGCTTTTGCTTCCTACTTATATAACCCCTGTACGGTCTCACACTCTATGTCATGTACATGACTGACGCCATTGGCTCAAGATCAAGGAAAAGTGACCGCTTGCTTTGCACACTTTCACACTTGTTCCACTTGCAAGCGCATGGTCCCTTCGGACCTTTCTCTGAGACGGCATTCTTTCCAAGGGTTGAACTTGCGTGTCACCCCCCCCCACACCCCGTGCAGATCATAGTTGATTACTCCACCCCCATAGCATGTGCAAAAAGTGACGAACGCGGGGCGCTCCTAGAGGCGCTCTTTCGACAAAAAACACGATGCTGAAAGGTCGAGTACGTACTTTCTCTGCATGCCGCTAAACCGGTTCACGCAATGCGCTCCACATCGCCACCCTATGGCTGGTCAATCTGACAGAACCTTATGTCATTTTTGCCCGCTCCCCCCCTCCCTACTTGATTAAGTAGGCGCCTACTTAATTAAAGTAAGGGAGAAGTAGCTAGTAGCTTGAGTAGCTACTAACTACTGGACGCAGGATAGCTGACGCTTCTTCAAGGAAGCTCCCCCGTCACCCTAAAGGCGGCGGGGGAAGCTTCTTTGAAGAACCGCTCGCACTATCACTATTCATCTGGTTCCTAGATTTTTGGGGAACTTAAGCCCAGCGGATCCTTTCCTCTATCTAGCTCCACTCGTCATAGGACACCCAAGAGGTCCACAGCTTTTGACACTTAGCTGAGAGCCACACAAATGTCTTCCACGGCGAAGACATCCTCAACATCTTTCTTCCTGAGAGCATCTCAAACATCCAAAAGAAACAATCAAACCCATCAACTTAGGAAGCAACCCACAAATTAATCCAGTTCTTGCTGGTTCACATTCCCTGGCCTGCTTAGCTAGCAACGTCATACTCATACTTTAGCCTCTCAGGAGTTTCCTAAGCCGCGAACTCTTCCTTTGGCTCTTCCACTTCATAGGCCTCTCAAAACGAACCAACAAGGTTGGCTAGCTGAAAATCTACGAAGGTGACCACTGGGCTCAAACTATTCAAGTTGCTCACCGTTGTGCAGTTGGAGATGTTGCTTGACTTACTCGGATCAAAGTCTGTCATTTATTATAGCCTCTTCTTGGTTGGGAGGGCATGTCAAACAGTCAAACACTTGGACAGGAAATCCACCTAGGCATTACCAAGTAAACCAGCCACCGGAGGGCAAATGGAAGGTGGAGGAGAGTTTGATACCCCACTCCATGCGCACTCGCACCGTTGCACAAAGACAATGTGTTGATGCCAACACAAAGCTTGCGAAAAATAAACATAATATGCGGTTAGCAGAACTCAGAATGGCAGAGTATAAGTGTACACACACGATGCTGGCATTCCCCTGCTGGCAAGAAATATGTTCATTTCGTTGTGGTGCAGAACGAGGCACATTTCATGGCCTCTGAAACGCCAAGCTAATGACGACTGTCTTGAGTCGCATTTAGAAGGAACAGGAGAAAGTTGATTCAGATTTGCAGAACAGCTAGGCCAGGCTGCAATCTTTTCACCACCATGGTCCTACCATGAAGCAGAGCTCAACAAAAGATCATGAAACATTGAGCACAGTATATATTGAATCTCTGCTGATCCCTTCTCAACATGACAGGGCCTTGCCACACCCCACTTTCGGCACCTGCTTTGCTGCAAACTCTCCTTGCTTGCCTGGCCAGCAAATGCTCTGAAGGCACAAAGTTCTTGTGGTCAGCACCCTCTCGTTTGGCATGGTTGCTTTCTTGTGCTCAACACAAACTAAAGGGCACAATGCAGATGCAGCATCATGCACATGTCTTTTTTCAACAAGTTGCGTGGTCACACCCGACTACCTCTCAGTTAGCCATATCCGCCGACCCCGCCGGTTGAAGGGGGCGCGCGCCAGAGGAGGCAACCGAGGGCATGCTTCCGTGACAGCAGGCGGCTTGAAGCGTGGCTGAAGGGTCGAAAGCGGAAGAAAGGGCGTGCTCGACGCTGCTTCACAGACTTATTTTACGGGTTCCGAAAGCAACGTTAGACATTCTGGGGGCGTACGCGGAGGACCTCTTTCGGGCGATTTTTGGTCTCGAATTAGATTGTGGAAAGCTGTGGCGAAGGAAATCACTCGGAACAGGTGTCTACCAG